ATCAGGCAGTAGTTCCAGTATTAAAATGTAGTTTTTAGGGGCTGGCATTTTGGTATAGTGGGGAAAGTCGCTGCCTGCGATCCCCTATGGGTACCAGTTCATGTCCTGGCTGCTCCACTTCTGATCCAGCTCCCTGCTAATGCACCTGGGAAAGCAGTGGAGGATGGCCCAAGTGCTTGGGCCCTGCACCCACGTGGGAGGCCCAGAAGAAGCTCCCAGCTTTGACCTGGCTCCACCCTGGTTGTTGTGGCCATCTGGGAGGTGAAGCTGTGGATGGAAGATCTCTGTCTCTGTAACCTTCTCAAATAAATCTTTTTTTTTTTTTTTAAGATTTATTTATTTGAAAGCCAGAGTTAGAGAGAAGGAGAGGCAGAGAGAGAGAGAAAGAGAGAGATCTTTCATCTGCTGGTTCACTCCCCAGTTGCCGCAGCCCAGTTGGCTGCACCGATCTGAAGCCAGGAGCCAGGAGCTTCTGTGTCTCCCACGCAGGTGCAGAGACCCAAGGCCTTGGGCCATCTTCTACTGCTCTCCCAGGCCATAGCAGAGAGCTGGATTGGAAGAGGAGCAGCCGGGTCTTGAACCTGCACCTATATGGGATGCCTGCACTGCAGGCAGCAGCTTTACCTGCTATGCCACAGTGCTAGCCCAATAAATAAATCTTAAAAAAAAAAATGTAGTTATTAGGGGTTGGCACTGTGGCACAGCAGGTAGAGCCACCACCTGCATTGCTGGCATCCCTTGTGGGCACCGGTTCAAACCCGAGCTTTTCCACTTCTTATCCAGCTCCTAACATACCTGGGACAGCAGCAGATGGCCCAAGCACATCCTGCCACCTCCTGGCTTCAGCCTGGCCCAGCCCTAGACGCTGCGGTACGGCCATCTGGGGAGTGAACCAGCAGATGGAAGATCTCTTTCAAGTAAATCTTTAGCTCCACCTCCCACTTCCTCCTACTTCAGGAAATCACCTCCACGTGTCTGTCTTCAGTGGCTCGCGAGGACAGGACCCGTCTGCGCGACTCTGGGCCCCGAGATTCTGGTGCGGGGCAAGCTAGTCCGTGTGTACACACGACAGCGTGTGACACGCAGTGCGTGCTCCTTCCGCATCAGCTCTGTTGGGAAGCACAAGGTGACCCGTGAGGCTCAGGTGAAGGCTTTGAAGAAACGCCACCTGCAGCTTTATCCCGGACCCCAGGGGTTTGCTCTTTCTCAGACCAGCAAGGACATTTATATCCGATTTTCCCTACAAGACCCTGCAAAAAAAACCCAGTGATCTTCCTGTTGTTCTGATTCCCGGGCCAGCCTCCCACCTCCAGTCACCCAGTCACCTGTTCTCCTCCAGGTATGCCTTCCTATGTCTTCTATTTTATGGTATTTTAAATCTATGGAAAACTCATTTTTTTAAATAAATGATAGGTTTGGTAGGTAATGAACTTGGAGGCACTGAGGGGAGGGTACAAAGGTCTCAAGGTACACTAGGTTCCAAATGTGTATTTTTGTTTTCAAAATAATT